ATTCTCGTGACGTAGCCTAACCGTGTACTAAATTTCAATTTTCAACTCCTAACCGCTTGGGCTTTGAGCTTATTATTATTATTATCATCGTTATTATCATTATCAACCCATATCTATTATATTATAAGACAACTTTTAAAATAAGACTCGATTGTCGATGAAAAAATAGATTAAAAAAAGTTTCCTGTGTGAAAAAGTGTGTGGCGCAAACCCCGGATGAAGAACGGACAGTCCGGTTATGAGATGGTTCTTATTTAATTTCACAATCGTCTGGTTGTCGTTGTTGTAACGCGGCTTTTATTAAACACCGATTCGAGTTTCGTATCGCGGTTCCAACAGTGTAGCGAGCTATTTAATTAGTTTTCCGTTAATCTACACTAATCGCGCGCTGTGAAGACCTAATTCTGAAATTCCCAATCGGTCTTTATGGCCACACCACCGACATTCCAGTAATATTATTAATTGATTTTCGACTTAAATAATTAACGGAGGATCGAATTAAATAAAGAAAATGTTTTTGGTAAGAATTTCATATTTCTTTAAACGGAAAGTTGTATTTTAAAGATACGCCCGACGATAATTTAAACAGATTTAAGAATATTTTCGCTTCGGAGCGTACGAAAGATGGATGCGAAATTCTGGTTCATTTTTATTCCTTCGGGTTATAAAAACTTAATATACGTTTACGTCGCCTTACTCGACATATACACGATATGGATCAACTAAAAACACGCATTTTAATTTTTTCTTTAAAACCTTCGCTACGAATTAGACAATACTTTATACTTCTTCCCAACTAGCGCACCGAGACAATTTCAAATACACTTCCACTTACCTTTTTCTTACAGTAGTAATATTTTTACTACCGTAATAAAAATTTATATTCGCGTATTCAAATAACTTTTCGGCATTCATTTTACCGGATGACAAATGTTATTTTTCTTGTAAATTTTCAATTTTATGCACGCGAAGTGGGATTTATTTTGGTTCGTGACGTGGCAATAGTAAAACAGAAGAGTAAATTCTTTTCTAAAGAAATGAATGAACAATTATAGAATATTGTATCTAAGTTTTATTACTTTATACGCGAATATACGGCATTAAAAAGTCTCTACTTAAACACGACGCTTGGTTACTTACATTTTATTACTTTATATTTAAATGTATATTTTCGTGTTTGTTTTAAAAAATTATATTCCTAACCTGGGATGCTTTTGTAGCCGTAGGAAAAGCTATTTGATGACTCGAGAACTGAGGATATCGGTCGGAAAAGTGAAAAAGAATACATAAATGAATTCTGGCCTTTTTTATTTTCTTTGTCGATTGTGTGGATTTGATTAAAGATGTTTATATAGTAAGCGATATTTGATAGCGTTTACATTCTTTAAATAAATTTATTCTTTAAGTAGCTTCGGAAAAGTAGCCCTAAGAAAATGTAGAATAAGTTTAAAAATAAAAACAGTCTTGTTTAAATGCAATACTCGGGCATAAAAATTGCAAAATTGATTTTTTCGTTTTTATGTCTACGGATTTCCCTTTTATTTATCTGTCCAAAATGATTTTCATTGTTTTAACGAGTAAAAAACTCGAGCGCAAATCTTTTGTTAACTCGGATCTTATCGACACAATAGAATATTGTTAGTTTTAGTCAAATTTTATAATTAATTTTCCACAATTTTCTTTTTAACTTTTAAGAGTATTCCGGTGATTTTTAAATGCTACTCTAACCATCAAATTATAAAATCTAATAATATAAAAACCCCAACAAATATTTAAATGGATTGCGCAAAAATTTAGGAAATAATAATTTAATTTTCAGTAAAGAAAATATTTACTCTTCCATTTTTTTCTCATAAAATTAATTAAATTTACATTTAATTAAAGCCGGCTAAAATAATATATTTTATTAGCGAAGCGCGTACGTAAGCGGAGCTTGGAGAAATACAAACGTATTACTCCAGTAAAGGGTTAGGAAAATAGAATAAATTCCGTGTTTAAAATAGATAATTTAATTTTTTGTCGTATTGTTTGAAGAATTATATTATCTGTTTTATGGAAGAAGGATGAGATGCGGCAATACGATAAAAGGAAGAAGCGACCTAACAGCTACTGTCATTAAACGAGAAAAACTCTTCTCGCACATCCATGACAATAGATAAATCAAATTGCTCAATAATAACAGTTGCCAGTAAATTGCTAAGAAAGAACCAAAATCCACTGACGAAAAAACCAGCAAAACTTTTTTAACTTAAATATTTTATTTTATTTTTCGTCGAATGGCGTAAGATTATTTCAAACTGTGCACAGCGCTTTCTTAAGCAGTAAGCGTATGAGTTCTTTCCTTTGCACGGGTAATTTCTTCATTTTTGCCCAATTTAACAGACGAGTTTTCTTCGTTTTTACCGTATTTAAGTGCAGCGGATTGATCAAATTTATCCGTAAAGACGTGGCAATCTATCTAGAAAGAGCTCGAAACTTTAAGTTGTATAAATTTCGGCGACAACTAAGATTTATAACCTAAAGTCAATATTCTTAACAGCCGAGGATTAAAACCAAAGCAATTTTATCCTCCGTAAAATTTATTTATTACTATTTTTATCTTTAATATGTGGAAGATTATTTTAATATTTTAGACGTAATCTCGTATTTTACAATTTCTGGGTTAAAGTTTAGAAACAAAGAGAAGAAATTGAATTGCTTCCAGTATGATAAACTCAGCGAGGATGCCGGATAATTACGTTTTAACACCATTCTGCCAATAAGTAAATGTCATAATACTTCAATGAACATGCTACTAAAGTGCTTTGACTAAAGTTTGCTAATAAGATTTTGGTTTATTAAGAATTTTGCAAGAATGATGGATGCAATTCACTAAACCTTTAATGGTGTCTACGTAACGGCCAGCGTAATAAAGGTTTAAATTTTAATAATAATGTATCGTCGTTGAAAACTCTAACGTCAATACAATAATTAATAAACTTGTTAATCAAGCTGGTGAAATTGTTAAACAATGATAAAAAATACTGCGGATATTTAGTCTATTTTCATGAAAAATACCGTAGAGCAGCGCTGTCCAACTTATCATAGCCCGCGGGCCATATTTTCTTCACCAAACATTTCGGGGGCCAAGAAGGTTGCTGCTGTACTCAGCCAGGTTAAGTGAAGTTACGCAAACTAAATAGTACCTACTTTAAATTCAAATTAAATTTAAATTTTCACGTAGTAAAATAATTTTAATATTAATAATAATAATTTAGTAACATAAATTTATTCATAGTAAAATGTACTCGGGGGCCGTAAAAATTATTTGGCGGGCCGTATACGTCCCGCGGGCCGCCAGTTGGACAGCCCTGCCGTAGAGGAAGAAGGAGCGATAGATATAAGTCCGTTAATAAATTATTCACTCACAGCCATAGAAATTACCAAAAACGAAAGGAAAATAGGACAAAAATTTACGTTGTTTGTCTTGCTTTAGAAATAGATCTTGAGAAAAATCTATATATTTTTCCTTATAATAAAATGACTTTTTTCAAAAACTGTACAGTACACATACTTGAAAGTGTGTACGCAACAGATTTAAAAGAAAGCCATCAACCCTTTCTTTTAGATAAATAATATACAGAAATCCATAAAATATAATCTTCTGAGTATTTTTCTTATTCTTATTTGTGTAAGACACAGACAACAGTAGTTTCTTTTTCTTTCTTGGCACGAAAGAATAAGAAGCACCGTTGTGATTAAATCTGATAGCTGACTTAACTCGCACTTCGTTATTTTAACTCCTTTCAATAAAGAAATCAATAACATGTTGATAAAGTTTATACAGAAGCGATTGCAAAGACAAATATCACAAAGCTTTTCTTTCCTTGTCTTTTAATTTCTTTAGAACAGAACAAGAACAAAACTCGACACATGTGCTGCAACACTAAACATCTCATACTTAGTAGTAATAGCGTTTAAAATAGGGCATTTAATTTATATACGGTCATATTTCTATGCTCAAAACGCCAGTTTGCCGGGAAAGTCGATATCGAGACATTGTGGCATTTTGACATCTGTCTTACTATAGAATTTACTTAGTGATTCGATGCCTAAAGGCATTATTCCAAGCGGAAAAGCGCCTAGACAACAACCGTTTCGGAAACAATGCGTTTTATTCCACTGACAGATTAACACTACACACACTAATTTAGTGGCGGGTGAAGAATAAATATAATTTTCTAGTTTATAGAAGAAGATAATTATAATTGAATACACGCAACTTTATCGTTATTTTGTACTTAGCTATAGTATTTTTGAAAACATTTACGCGCAGTACACGTCAAATATTTTGATAAGCTTCACTCGTTTGCTGTGTTTACCTTAAGAAAGTTTGAAACAGAATGTACTATAAGCCTTATTTAATAATAAAAAACTCTTAACACAGCGTTGAAAATTTTAAATTGAAATGAAATTTAATAAAAGATTTCGGACAACAATTTAAAAGAAATTTTCTCACCTCTATTTCTTTTCTTGTTTATATAAGAAGATATTAAATTAATTTTTTAAATTTTATAAGAAAATTTTTTAAAAAATTAAATACATTTTAATGAAACCAACTTTTGGTTTATTTTAATAAGCAAAATTAAATTTAAATTACTGTATTTTTAATTTTGTTTTGTACACAGGCTAATTAATGCGTTTTTCGTAAATTTCGATTCGATAATTTCTAATAATAATAATATTTAAAAGATGACGGATCAATATTCAATTAATAATTTTTTTGGAAAATTAAATGTAAGTTTACATATATAGCCTATAATAAATGAATTAATTTTAAAATGATTATCGCCTTTAATACATTTTAATATACTTAATAATTTGGAATTATTAATTAATGGTTGCATTGCTGAATAATTATTTAAAGTTAATATTTCGAATTCCATTCTCCATTTACGAATATTATAAAATATACATTTTAGAAGCCGTCCTTTAAATCGATAGGACAAATCGAAGCTTACCTCATGAATGTGATGACCCCAACACGAGATATATTTTCTACTAAAAGCTTCCAAGTATTAAGTACGAGAGCCTTTTGTTGATTAGTCAAGTCGGGTTTTTCGTCTTTTAATAAAGGAGAATTCTTTTTGTTGGCTTCTTTCTTCTTGAGATTAGCATTTACAGTTTTTGTGTACTTGCAGCCCATATCTGAAGTGTGACGAGTGACAAACCGATCAAGCTTTCATCTTTCCACTAGAGATAATGCCTGCGGTGCACGTAAAGACCTTTTCATTGTGAGTTTGGTGTACGCCGTGTCCGGTTCGAATAAGACAAACCAGTAAGTGACTCTGCCTTCTCTCTATATATATATCTTGGGATTCAATCGATCCACTTTCTACTTCCACCTGTACGGGGAGATGTTGCGCCGCTTTCGCATTTGCTTACAGGAAATAAGCAGCAACTATCTCCCTCCGTTTGTTCTTCCAAGTTTTCTTTAAATCGTTTCATTTTTCTCTTAATACATTTTTGTCTTCTCTTTTTAAATTCTCCATGAAAATTACCTGCTTTTCTTTCTTTATTTAAATGTGTCTCTCTTATTTGTTTAGGTTACGGCCAAATTAAATAATTTATATTCGTTTATTTCGTACGAAGAAAGCTTCTTAGAATTTATATTTATCTACGAAATAATTGTAGAATTGGATGTTATATTCGATGGCGGATTACGTTTTCGTCAGGCCCTAGGCGCAATTTTGTAAAAGTGGGTTTTTAATATTAAAAAAACAATAAAAGCTTTAAATAATAAGATTTCTATTTATAATATACATTTTCTAAAAGTTTACTAAAGTTTTTCCTACGTAATGTTTGAGGCCCCCGGAAACGACCGGGCCCTAGGCGCCTATCGGGTAATCCGCCACCGCGTATATCTTTGCGGCAAGTTTTACCACCATCATATATATATATATACAGTATATATTATAACACAAATGTTTTTGAATCTAAGAAATCAATTATAGTTGATATGGCTGCGAATAAAGACACGCATCACAATTAAATATTGCTACTAATTATTACGGTAATATTAGTTTTAATTACTCGATAACATTTATAAATATTTAGCTTTCTTCCAACCAATGTTTACTTAAGTTTTGTATTTAGTCAAGTAATACTGTAATACTTTAACCATCGATAAAATGATACAATTTCATTTTCAACATACGAATTGTCGCTAAACTACCGGTTGACAGAGATTATAATAACGTCGGACTGGCTACCGGGATGCAAAGTCAATTTCAATAACCCATGTACTGTACAGTACTCGTACGTTCTTCTCGAGTATCAAACTCCCAAAATTATTATAAGTTATTTTATACCATTAAAATTAACGCGTAGAGAACCGGCAGCGTGAAATCTTTAATATATTATCCTTTTATTTTATTCGATTTCGAAGTGATGGGTCCTACATATTAAACTTTTAATACGTAGAAAATTTTTAAGTAGATTTCTTTGAACGTATCCATGCAAACAGATATCGAAACTTGGCGAAAGATTTTATATTTTTCTATAAAAGAAATGGAAATTCAAAAAATCTATATGCATTTTTTCTCTTTCTCGCTATTTTTATATTCTCTAACTCTGTTGAATTTCAAGTGTTTTTATATTTGTATATTTTTTGAATTAAATAAACTTTAAAAAATAATTTATTATACATCCAAACATTGTTTTATTACCAATTAATACCGGTGATGATGTCGGGCTTGGGATTTTATAATCGTTTTAACTTAAGCGATTCTAACACAATATAATATATTGTCCTGTTCATTAATTAGAAATTTGGTATAATTTAACGAGATTCTTCTTGAATAATAATCATTCGAATGTTTTCGTTGTCGTTAAGCGGAGATTTTAAAAGGGATTTTTCAGAATTTCCGGAATTATCTTTAGAATTCAAAACGATATTTCTTCAATGTCGACGATAAACAAAGTAAATGCCGTTATTTCAAAAATTCTTTGGATTATATAAAATGCTTAATATTTTATACGAAGTATTCGTATTGTGGATTTTATTCTCGAATTATAAGCGTAAATATTTCAGAAATTTGTTTTATATCTGGATTCCGCATTTAACAGTTAAAAGTCCGTTAAATGGTCGTTAAGGCTAAATTCCCGCCTTACTCGAATACTGTATTGTTTAAATTGTTTAAAACCAGGTTCTTTCTGTTCGTCTGGGCGATACATTTTCACAAATGGCTTGCAAGAACTCTGTAAGAAACTGATTTTTGTGCCACTATAATGTTAATTATAGTTATTTATATCGCGCTTGTTTCTATTTCAAATTATCCTCTGAGAAAATTGTACTTGGAAATATTTTGAAAAATCTTTTACATTATCCCAAAATTTACAAACTTAGAGGGAAAGAACTTAAGGCAGCTTTTAACAAATTAAGAAAATAAAAACTTTACTGGCTTTATATATTTGAACGAAATTCATTAAATTATAAAAATCTAAGTTACTTAACAACATTAAAAATTTAAAGTTACTTAAGAAAGTAAGAACAACACAAACAAACTCGGTTTTTACTTTGGGTTTATTTCGAATGAATTCGGTTATCTTCGTCTAATCGATAACTAACGTTTTTTATTTGATACGAGTAACATTTTAAGCTTCCTAAAGGATAAATTTTTCATACAAGCTATCCAGAAATTCACAATCTCGACAGAAACGTCAAAAAATAACAAACCTCTGGTTGGAAAATCTGTGTACCGCGCAAAAAAACTCGTTTAAAACCAGAAAACATACTTTAACTTAATAACAATAAGCAGTTTTGAATATTAAAAAGCTATCGTTTAATAAAATGAAAACATTAATCCCGGAGAATAATAATAAACGAGCGTAGATAAGCAAAGATGAATCGTCGCACTGGTAATAGTTGCAGTTACTTAGATTATCGTGTGTAGACGACAATAATTGTTTTTCTTTTTAAAAGTAAGCTAATTATAGAAGGAAACTCAAACAATCGATACGATGAATGTGTTGATAATTTCTTATCTGTTAAAGTAATAGATTTGAAGTTAACGCGGTGATTGATGCGTTTACGGTTTGAACTTTTTCTATCAAAGAATATTTTATAAAAATTGATATTATTAAATTAAGATAGAATTTTATATAATTTATATGTTACTTGATTTGGATACGTAATGACGCGGCCACCATAAAACGAAACCGAGAACACAAAGCTAAGTGGATAAGGAAAAGAAGAAATAGCCGAGATGTAAGAGAATACGAGCATTAGAAATACAAGGTATATCGTTAGCAAATTTATTAAAAGTATTATTTTCTCAACTTTTATCAGTTTTACAGTTTTAAAAAAGAATTCATTTTTGAAAGTATTACATTGATTAACAGAAGCCATTGACGATTATCGTTTACAAGATTTAATTGGACTTTTATCCGATTAAAAATAAGATTCTTACAAGTATCAGACCTTACTTAATCTCAAACAAATGCTTCTTTCGTGTCATTTCCTTATAATAATAATATTTCTGCATTAACCGACATTTGTCTGACTTACATCCAGATAGTATCCGGCTAAAGTCGAAGCGCATTTGCCACAAACACAAATACGGCATAGCTTTGTTGGAAGTCCGAAGGGAGATAAAAAAAACTTTAACGTTTCCGTAGGATTATTTTAAAATATACAAATAAAAGTTATTAAATTGAATTCTTAAAACCGCTTTATAATACGGAAATGCTCACCGAGCAATAACAGAGTTTGACCTTTTAACCCGGACGAAGATTTTCGCCGCAGGCAAAACAGACGATTGTGCCGGATTGTCGGAAAAACTGGTATTTGGTGGAGATTTTACTAATCCATTAAATATTATATTAAATTACTTTATGTTCGATACGTGGTAAAGGCGGCGAGTTAAGGGAAGCCCCAGCTTAAATTACGTAGGTCAAGAAGAATAGCGACGTAATTAGACCGCGCCAGGAAGCTTTCCGCGTCATTTACCTACGGATTTAAGTGGATTTCTTCGGATGCCGTGCGATTTTACAAAATACGTAAATCGAAATATTAAAGTATAATGGGGAAAAATACGGATTTGAATCGTCGTCTGGTCGTTACATTTCGGACGTTAATTTGGGCGATATTGTCTCACTGCGGGGTTTTCCCGCCGGAAAGCCCATTTAAATAGTATCAAATATGGCTTATTGCCTTAAGACTTAACTGTTAAAAAGAAATTTTGCGCTAAATTAAATCCGGAAGAAGATAAATGTAATAACGTCGATATTAAATATGCGCCGACATTATTCCAGTCGATGATAAATTGCTAAGTTTGGTAATTCGGCTTAGGGCAAAGTCGTCGTTCTTTCCTTTTTTGTGAAAATTCTCTTTCAAGATATTCCTACGTTATCAATCGATTTATTAGTTTCCGAGGAATTTCTTTTCTTCTGCCAAGAATACGTTTAATCTATTAATTTTCTAAACTCGAAAGAAAGCTTTTGAGAAACTCGAAGATTTGTCCTTACTTCATTTACCGTCTCGTACCGTATTTTCTTCTTTCCTTTTGTAATTTTACAGATTCCTATAAGTACTTATATAGTATTACGCTACCGTTATATTTTATTTTTTAAATGCGAAGAGATTAGCCGTAAAGCCCGGACACTTATCAAAGCATTAGTATTTAAAAATTGCGTGCGGTAGACAAATGCATTCTCTTATATTTGATATATTTGCTATTAGTGTGTATGGTTCCCTCTAAAAGATAATCGTTCCACTTTAATGGTTCGTAATGCAGACCGGCCATATTCGAATTGTCGTATTTCTTTTCCCTCAATCTCGCGTACATTTATAGGTGGTTCGATACTGCGATAAGGCTATTGTAAACAATAAAAACGTCAGTTAGTATTTCGATACAACAAAGCCAATTAATGTTACTTGTCTTTGAACGTGTCCGACGTTCAAAGACAAGTAGCATTAATTCGTCCTGGAACTTTATAAACGCCGCGCAACACCGCCACTCCCCATTTCTGCGCGTCTGTACGGTAAGCAGAAGTTGTGGGTTCGAGTCTCGCTCCGGATGAATCTTCTTTTCCGGAATATTATAAATTAAATAATTTAATTCTATTCGGATTATAAACGTATTCCGTCGCCTCTCTCTTAATTCGTAAACCAACAGAGTGATTTTGATACGGATCTATTGTCTACAACCGCGGCGAACCAAGTAATCGTACTAGCATTGACACGTTTATTATTCTGTCTCTAATATAAATGCATTTCGTCTTAGTGATTTCTCTTCGGTGTTACGTAATTATTCGTATAACCAACGCATTCTCGACTGATGCTCGATTGAGTTCGGATTCACTTATTAGCAATGTTCCCTCTAAGCTGCGCGGCCGCGCACTGCTC